ACGCCAGTGTATTGCTGGGTCATCAATGCATTAACCTTAGTCGACCCTACGGCTTCCTTGGCCTAAACAAGGATGAGTCCTAGTCTAGTGAATATAGTGCCAAGACCGCCGCGTCCGAACTTGCGAGGCGGCGGGGTTTGTGCCGAACCTAGAATGAGTCCAACCGGCAGGGTTCCTTCTCGCTATTCCTCGGCTTGCATACGAGAGAAAGGAGTACCTTCTGTCAAGACGATGAATCATCCTTGGCACCATGAACGGCGCACAATTGCGGTTTCAAATGAAATGGTTAGAAACGAAACAACATACCTTCGATTGGTATACCAGTGTATACCGTTGCCGACCAGTGTATACCGCTGCTGAGTAGCGGCCACCTCACTATGTCACTGTATCTCCTCGTCGCTCAACACTTCAAGTGAGCAAGGAGGATGTCATTGACAATCTCGAGGGCTCGGATCATTCATATGGGTTCCCGCTTTCGAAATCTTGACCAGTTTGAGGAACTTCCCGGACGTTCCACTTGCATCTGTTGAAAAGAAACATACGCTCGGCCGCTCTTGACCGTTCAGGTAGATCAGGGTAGAATCCAAGTACAACCGTCACCCAATCACATGTGACCGTGTCGTTGATGGATTTGTCATCAGCATCGATTGCCTTCGATTGCCTTCTGCATCGTAGGCTCGTTCACTGGTCTAGTACCAATTCTCGTGAAAGCTTGGTGCAAAAGGCCTGTTACATAATGAGACGAAGAAATTCAGAGGAATCGGGGTGATTGATACTCCACCCGTATAAAGATCACTATCAGTGGTATTTAAAAATCGGCGTCAAATATTTGTGTAGTCTACCAGAGTATTGGTCCTATATTCCTCTATCCTCGTCACGAGCACCCTGTACTAATACTAGGTACTAAGTAGTACATCATTAGGAAAAGTTGTACATATGCTACTAGCTTTCGCGGATCAGCGCGTTACTATGTATTCATATATTAAATGTTCGAACTACAGTCGAAGGAAACAAGTAGCAGAATAATATAATTACAAGAATTAAATTAAAATGATCTGGGCCGGACTTGAACCAACAACCTTCTGCGTGTTAAGCAGACGTTCCACCAACTGAACTACCAAACCAGTACGTCTTCTTTAGTGGGCGTCTCATCGAATAGGTGTGGCGTATATCTTTACTATGTTTACATTTTAGGAAGGTCATCAACCTTCTGCGTGTTAAGCAGACGTTCCACCAACTGAACTACCAAACCAGTACGTCTTCTTTAGTGGGCGTCTCATCGAATAGGTGTGGCGTATATCTTTACTATGTTTACATTTTAGGAAGGTCATCGAATATTCAAGAACGACAATAATGGGGTGAGAATTTTAAAGGAGTCTGCGGAAAGGGCACCTGACCTGGCATCCGATATGCCACGGGCTGTCAGCAAGCCATTCACCCCATTATATAAGTACCACACTCCTTCACGACAGTCCCAAGCTACATAGTATAAGGTAAAAGCGTTTAAGTTGTCAAGGGGATTAGATCAAGACACCATGTGGTTAGATTGGTTGGAATCATTATTTGTTTTATTTTCGATTAGCCATTGATATTATTTATGCTCTAGATTTCGTACACTCATTACGTTCTTTATGCATATTCCTAAGACATTTTTTACTCCTCGATCCCCAGATTTACCTGATTGAACAATTTAACCAAATGCGCATTGAACGCATGAATGTAGTCAGACGTACCTGAAACTATTATCTGGATCCTGCCAAAATATGGTGCTACGTATTAATCCTCCGTTTATCGACACACCCTCGAAACTTAGAGTGCTGAATTCCTCGAGGGAAAACCCTTCAAGTTCCGGAGTCTACCCGCGGAATATGATGTGGGCAAATAGACCTCGAGATCCGTGTTATACACGGAACACTGGTGATATCGTGACTCTTCGAATGCTTCAGGTACCGGGATGGGGGGATCAGGATTTAGATATATGAGCCTATGTTAACGAAGACTACATGACAGGTGTATATGATAGTACGGCAATGTAATCACTACTTTTGATGAGCTTATAATAATGTTTTCGCTCTCTTTTCATGGAAGGCTTTGTCTGGTGGAGAAAATACCGGAGAGAGGGGGCCCTGGAACCGCAGCTTGGTTAAACCAGATTATCAGCATCATTTTTCTCGTTGAAATGTGATATTACCATATATGATACGAGGAATCGTGCAGGTGATTGCAACTCGCCGTGACAGTGGCAGTGCATTCTTCTGCAATTACTACTCTTTGCACAAGTGCCAGCAAGGTTACTTATAATTAACTACGATCCATCCCGTTTTTCTC